TGTCGCAGTCGCTCTCGTAGCTCAGGTGCGGCCAGAGGGGGTGCGCGTCGTAGTGCGCCTTGTTCGTCTCGTTGATGAGCTTGAGCATGCAGTCCGCGTCCTTGTAGGGGATGTCGTGAAACTGCCCGCACAGGCCCATCCACGCGCGCACGAGGAAGGGGAAGCCCACGAGGCCCATCATGATGGGCTTCAGCCCGGGGATGCCCCCCGTCTTCGTGGCCGTCGCCATCCTGGTACAGAAGGCGGGCTGGCTGCCACAGTCACACTCACGTGGATTGTTTATGATCACACTTTCTAGATGTTGCCCAAGTCTTGAGGTCGTCGCTGAAGGAATTGCCTGGAGCTTACAAGGGGATATAAATCTAGACTATTATTTACTATTTATTACCCCTTGGAGCTTACGAAGAGCTGGCGCATGGGCAGGGCCTTTGAGAGCTGGCACCCAAAAGACGCATCTACTTGCACCGCCATGACCATATTGTAAACGCGCCATGGACCTCCGCGGCCGCCTGGACCGGAGCGGCGACCTGCAGACGTCGCTGCGGAGCAGCGTCGGCGGGCGGAGCAGCATCTCCGAGCTCGACACGCGGGACCTGCAGGACTTCCTCGCCGACGACTACGTCGAGACCTACGAGGGCCCGCGGACGCCCGCGCGGCCGCCGCGGGCGCGCGGCGGCGGCGACGGCGCGGCCGCGGCCGCGCGAAGCGGGCCGCCGCCGGCGGTCGTCGCGCTCGCGCCGCGCGGCGGCGTCGCGACGAGCGCGCGCGCGCGGCTCCGCGCGGACGACGGCCGCCGCCTCGTCAACGGCTACGAGCTCCTCGGCGAGCTGGGCCGCGGCGCCTTCGGCACCGTCGAGCTCTGCGAGCGCCGCGGCGACTTGTACGCGGTGAAGATCCTGCGGAAGTCGCTCCTGCGCAAGGCGCGGACGGGCCGGGGCCGGGGCGCGAACGCGCTGGCGGACGCGCGGCGGGAGATCGCCATCATGAAGAAGCTCGACCACGCGAACCTCGTCGGCCTCGTCGAGGCCGTCGACGACGAGAAAGCGGGGAAGCTCTACCTCGTGCTCGACTACGTCGACTGCGGCCCCGTCCTCGAGCGCCGGAAGAGCGGCGACCCGCCCTACGTCGCCATCGACGCCGTCGCCGCGCGCGCGGCGTGCCGCGACGTGCTCCGCGGGCTCGAGTACCTCCACGCGTCGGGCGCCTGTGTGGATTCCAACCGCCGGTTTGGGGGGTCCCCGCCAAACTTCAGAACTCTCTAGCTCGGTCAAATCGACGTCGATTCGGCTGATTTTTGGACGGATCGATTGTTCTCGTTAAATTCTCGAAGCATAGAAGAAGAGCTCGCGTCGAAACCGTCGCACATTGAAGTCGGGTTGAAGATTTGTAATCCGCGCAGGTCGGGCGTCGTGCACCTCGACGTCAAGCCCGAGAACGTGTTGTTGACCTCCGGCGGCGTCGCCAAGCTCTGCGACTTTGGCGTGTCGCGGCTCGCGCGGGGCGGCGCCGGCGACGCCGCCGTCTTCGCGTCGACGCCGGCCTTCTCCGCGCCCGAGCTCTGCGGCTACGGCGCCGGGAGCGCCGCCGCGCCCGCCGTCGACGCCTGGGCGCTGGGGGCGACGGTCCACGCCATGGTCTCGGGGGCGCCGCCCGTGCCGCGGGGCACGCCCGCGGCGACGGTCGCGCGCCTCGGCGCCGGCGAACGCGTCGTCCGACCGACGGGCGACGGCCGCCTCGACGCGCTACTCGCGCGGCTTTTGGACGTCGACGCGACGACGCGCGCGACGATCCCCGAGGCCATGGCGAGCCCCTGGCTGGACCCGCCCATGACACCCGTGGCCTACGTCGGCGCCGCCGTGCGGCCCGAGGACCTCGAGGCGGCGCTCACGGCCCGGTCCGCGCGGCCGGCCGCGGGCCGGCTCCGCGCGGCCGTCGGCGGCCTCGCGCGGCGCGCGCTGGGCCGCGGCGCGGCGCTCCCGGAGACGCCGACGCGGCGCGACCGCGCCCTCGACGCGCTGCGCTGCTCGCTCTCGGGCGGCCGCGCGGGCTCGGACGACGACGGCTTCGACGGCGCGGAGGCGCTGTCGGACTCCGGCCTCGACGCGACCTTCGACGCGCTCTGCGGCGTCGGCGACGGCGACGAGAGCGACGACGACGGGGGCCCCTGGCCGGCGATCTTTGGGGGCGAGCGGCTCGGGCCGTGCTTCGTCGCCGTCGCCGCGTCCGCGGGCGAAAGACGCGCCGCCACGGAGGACGCGTGGGCCGCCGTCGTCCGCGGCGACGGCGCCGCGGTCCTCTGCGTCTTCGACGGCCACGGCGGCGCCCAGGCGGCGGCGTGGCTCGCGGAGCGCTTCCCGGCGTACGTCGACGCCGCGGCGACGCCGGACGACGTGTCGCGCGCGTTCGCCGCCGCGGACGCGGACCTGCTGCGCCACCTCGACGACGTCGACTCGTCCGCGGGCGCGACGGCCGTCGTGGCCGTCGTCTCGGAGCGCGCCGTCGTCGTGGCGAACGTCGGCGACTCGCACGCGGCGCTCGCGCCGGCGCGCGGCCCCGCGGCGACGCTGTCCGCGGCCCACGGCCTCGGGGGCGACCCGGGCGAGTTCGAGCGCGTCAAGGCGTCCGGCGCGCACTGGGCCAACGGCGGCCGCGTCAACGGCGTGCTCCGCGTGTCGCGCGCCTTCGGCGACCGCGACTTCAAGGGCGCGCGCGCGCGCGCCGCCTGGCGCGCGAACTACGCGGCGGACCCGATCATCGCCGCGCCCGCCGTCGTCGCCCGCGACCGGCGCGCGGACGACGCGGTCCTCGCGCTCGCGACGGACGGCGTCGGCGACGCGTTCCCGGACCCCGCGGGGCCCGCGGCCTTCGCGCGCGCGCGGCTCCGGGCCCACGGCGACGTCGACCGCGCCGCGCGGGAGACCCTCGCCGAGGCCCGCGCGCGCGGCGCCACCGACGACGCGACGCTCGTCCTCGTCGACCTCGCGCCGCGGCCGAGCGACGCGAGGGCGCCGGATGCCACGCCGCCGCCGCCGAGCGGCGATGCCGCGCCGCCGCCGCCGCCGAGCGACGGTGCCGCGCTGCCGCCGCCGCCGCCGCCGCCGCCGCCGCTCAGGAGCCAGAAGGCGAGGGTCGCGTGGAAGTTGAGGGGGGTCGGTGGCGCCCTCGGCGCCCTCGGCGCCCTCGGGACGGGGGCGCCGCCCCCTCGCTCCGACGCCCTCCGCT